AGGCTAACAAAAGTCCATGCCTTATCCCGTCCAACAAACTCTGCTAAATGGTCGGTGAACTGTTCATACAATTGGAATATTGCCTCTCAGGCTTGCTGGCTTGGCAGCGAAGGCAACATTGCGACGTGATTCAACGGTGCCTGTGCAGCTCAAAACAAGGAATCAAGGTAAATCTGAGCTAGCCTCAATCATAAATTATGACACTCAAGGCAACAGTAACCAAGCACTGACGGAAAGGCCACAAATAGCAAAGACACAAATGAACGCGCAAGCAAGCTGGCAAGCAAGCAAGAAAGCCAAGCCAAGCCAAGCCAAGCCAAGCCAAGCCAAGCCAAGCCAAGCAAGCAAACAGCAGCCTAGCAGGCAAGCTGTCAAGCTGTCAAGTAAGCAAGCAGTCAGGCATTCAAGCAAGCTAGAAAACAAGCAAACTAAGAACAAACTAGCAAACAAACAAGCAAACAAACAAGCAAGCAAGCAACGAACAAACAAGTACAGAAGACAAACAGACTGGCAAAGAGACAGACCGGAAAGAAGGCAAGCAAACAAAAAGAGCCAGAAATGCAGGTAGACAGACAGAGGCGGACGGCGAAACACGCAAAGACACTGGCAAACAGCCAAACATGCAGGCATCCAGACATGACGACATACAGATGGAGACAGACACAAACGAACACAGACAGACTTATAAACGTATAGATATATTATATACGTATAGACAAACATTAATATAGACATACAGACATACAGACAGGCAGGCAAACAGACCGACAAACAAACAAACAAACAAACAAAAAACAAACAAACAAACAAACAAACACACAAACAACCAAACAATATAGCGCAAAGGACTTGTGAGTCACGTTTGGGCTGTTGGTCGCAAGATCCGGACGATGTGTCTGCCCGCCTCTGCTGCGCTTGGTGCAAGGGCAGCAAAGCCAGAAGCGGCAAAGGCCGGATGCGTTGCATCCTGGAGGGGTTTGCACAGCTGGAGACAAATAACAGTATGGGGCCTGAACACGATTTTCTCTTGATGCTCCCGAACACCATCCCGCTCATGCGACACGTGCTTTCTCTGCAAGCTTGCATAACTTCCACGTGTTGGTTTCGGGCCCAGGTGCCGTTTGAGTTTCATTCCGTGCCAGAATTGAACTTTTGGCTGCATCTAGTTGGGTGACCGTGTAGGCATAAACAAATAGGTTCCTTTCGGACGATACACACCTGGTTGTCCTTTGGTACAAGCTGGAGCCTGTTTACTAGAACCCACATTTACCCCGATCAAGGTTGTAACTTTTCTCGGCCCACGGCCTGTGTCGAATCTTTGCCCGCACTGTAGACTGGAATTCAACCCCAAAGGCTCCTTCCAGGGGCAGAATCAGCCCACCAACTCAGCCCAGTGGCCATGCGACAAAAAGGCACGCAAAGCCTTCCCTACAAAATGGGAGTGGGCCAGGAGACAATTCAAGCCTGATAGTCTGTCATTCGCAGAGTTCGCACCCTTGCTAAGATGCAGAAAACAAATCCCGAAATCCCGCCTCTCGGCTCAAGTGCCCTGGCGCGCAAGGGCGAAAGGGGGTGCGTCTCAGCATTAGGAAGGGCCAAATGGTTGGTATCTTGTTTGCGTCATTTCAACACCAAAAGAGGCTTGCCCCAGAAAGAAAGAAAAGGAATGCTTGTAAGAGTGCTGGGGAGGGATCGTAGTATGCTCCAGCGCTTCTGAAATGTGCAAAGACTACTTTCTAAGCAGAAAGGCACATGACCGGAAGGGCACCTTCAAAGGGTCGCTTAGTCAACGGGAACTAAGAGAACCCTAAGTGAAGCCAAGCGAGCTGCGTCGTTGTTCCAACGGCCGAGCGGGAGTCCTCTCTCAGTAAGGTCAGAGTGAGTTGGAAGGTCCAAGACACTATTGTCGATCCGGCGGATCAGGGGAGGTGTCTTTTCTTGTTGGGCAGGCTCGCAAATCCCGTCTCTGCAATGGGGACACCGTCCTTCCTAGCATCACACGTCGCTTCATCTCATTCACATTGCTTTACTTTATAACTCTATCCATTTTGCAAAGGGATGAGAGAAGAGCCAAAATCAAGACAATGGAAAGGCTTGTTGGGTCTGTTAAGCAAGGCCACGTTAATTGCTGAAATGAACTGACCTTTGCACAGGCCCAGGCCTCTACTAGAGAGCGGACACCAGTAGTCAGCCAAGGATACTCTCAGAGAAAGAAAGCCCCGAATTGCCCTGTCAGGAGGCATCAGGTGTCGGTTACTTACATCATCTGGGAGCAGTGAAGTGGACTTTGCAAGCACTACAGCACGGCCTTTGTGCCCGCAACGGGCAGTCATAGGCCAAGTTAAGCTGAGAAAAATCTAAATCCAGCGCACCTGTGGCTTGGAGAAGCCCCCGAAACAGCCCGAAGGTATCGTTGCATTGGTTTGGGGTCCGCCTCTTCCCGACGGACGATGCGATTCTGGACTCCTGCCTCCTGGCTTTCCATAGTCGCAGCCCTGAACGCGGAAAAGGAATGGCCAAATCGGAAGGTAACCTCCTGCAAACTCAGATGGATAGCGTGCAGGTTTTCTGCACGGAATCAACAAAGGTTTTGGGAACGAACCAATGGATCCTTTTGAAGAAAATTCTGAGGGATGAATTAGAGGGGTCAGTCCCTCATTCGCTGAGAACAAGCAAAATAGTGGTTGATGTGCTTTGGGCTTTCCTCGAAGCTCCCCCCCCATGTTGGACACACACGTATAATACATAAACGGGCTTGAACACAAGTGGGACGATCCCCCAATTCGCGTTATTCATTTGTACCCGTGAAAGCAGTCTACAGCGGTTTATCGTCCAACCAACATCGCATATGCAAGTTGAAAAGGAAAAGTTGTTCTTTGCCCCCCCAACAACCGCCAACGGACAATAGAACGTAAGTTGCCATCTGCCAAACCTATCGCAGAACCTATGCGGATCTCCTGTTGGAGGGCACTTCGAATCTCAGTGTCCATGGAGAGCAAGGGGGGGTCCTTTGAGGTCGCTTTGTGTTTCCGTGCTGAATGATTGTCGAAACACATCTTCTAAAGAATTGAGACTTGAACTGGCGGGTTCGCCAAAAAGACTGTGCGTGGGCAAACACACATGCACCCTTGGTAGGTGACTTATCCAGCTTTCATAGGGCTTCATCCATCTCATCCATAGTAGGGGCCCTTTTGGGATCCGTTTTGGTGTCACTGTGTGCCGGCCTCCCAAAACAAGGCCGCCAACCTGACGAACTCGACACAAACCAAACGGCCAACCAAAAGAAAGAAAGAAAGAAAGAAAGAAAGAAAGAAAGAAAGAAAGAAAGACAGAAAGAAAGAAAGAAAGAAAGAAAGAAAGAAAGAAGAAAGAAAGAAAGAAAGAAAGAAAGAAAGACAGAAAGAAAGAAAGAAAGAAAGAAAGAAACAAACAAATAAAATACAAAAGGAAAATGGACATAAAGAGAGAAACAAAGAAACAAAGAACAAACAAAGGGACTGCAAAGAAATAAAACCGACGTCCTGTGCTCTGCCCCAGTTCCCAATTTGGAGGCCTTGGGGCCTGGCCCTGGAGCAGCCGCCCCTCCCCGAGCCAAAATCCGCCGGGCCAAGGTGTAGGAAGCCCAGAGTCACAATCAAAACCTGGTATTCAAATGGTCGACCCAGAACCATGAAAATAATTCAGAAGGCGGCCGCAGCTATTTATGGTTGGGATTGTACCCATGTTACTCTCCGGCACATGACCCAGTGAAAATAGGAGGCACCTCTAAGTCTAGATCAGGCAAGTCGATTCATCAACATGTTTAAACCCGAAACGCCATCGTATTTAGGAAAGGAATTTCCGCTTGGGGAAAGGATCATTTTTGGGGGGTTGGTCAATTTGAAGGGGAGTACGTCACAGGCTCAGGCTGCTGACATTGAGCCAATCATGCCATGCAGGGTCCCCTGAAGCAAGCCATTGTGCACCCATCCCTTGTCTCATGGGGTGGTGCGACCACTGACACCAGGGTTGCAACCATGTGTTCAACCTCGAAGATGAACACCCACTACGGGATGATCATGTCAAGCAAGGGCATGTTGCATCTGGAAAGGGGGTGAGGATTGAATCCTTAAGTTCACTGCCAAGCCTTGGGTTCACTTTCAACTGCCAGGCAGTGTGGCATTTTGCATGTGGAAGCTCGGCTTCACCACTACTATTTCCTTGGACTTGGCAAAAGATCGGCGTTTGTCTCCTGGGGTACCCCGAAGCCAGGTCTCAGCTTGGCTTTTTGATAAAGCCCGAAAAGGGTGCCCTCTCCAAACGACGCACCCATCTCTAAATCTCGAGTGTCCAGGTGGCCATGGAGGTCTATGCAGCGAGGCATGATTCCCCAAGCTTTGACTTCTGGTAGACTTCAACCCACGGGTCAAAGGTTGATGTCCCCAAAAGGCAAAGCCCTGGCATAGGTCTTCTTTGTGGGAACCGAAACGTGAACTCTGGAGAACACGGTGTGAGCATTCTGCTCTTCAAACATTCAAGCGTGCATCGAAGGTCTCGGAAACAACATATGCGCCGATGACAAGCAGAAGCCTGGCTACGCATTCCTCCCCGGTCGACGCCTTTTCTGACGGGTGCGAGATTGCATTTGGTGAAACAGAACAAACACTCAGCCGCTAGGATTTATTGAAGCAGTGCTGAAATCATGTGGTGTCAGCTGTTGACAAAGTTGCCAGATTCTAGGCACGAGGCCTTGGGGTTGTTTGAAGGATGCGATTTTGCTTTATCCCAAGTCCTGGAACAGTGTCCATGGGAATACATGCCGCATGAGCATGCCAGGTTGAATTTAATATTAATTGCCATGGCAAAGGATGCTATGTACAAGCACCAAGCAGCAGCGATCCATTTTTGGACCAGTATACACTTAAATATAGGAGTTCTTTGTTTTCTGTTTGACAAGGGCTCCTCTTGGGCTTCCCCTGAGCTTAAGTCTAGATGAAAATGGAGCCCTGCCGCGCATTGCATCATATGCATCGTGACCCGCGGTTGTAGATCGGTGTACCGAAGGCATCTCGCACACCTGGCCATCCGATTTGTCCACCTCTCCACTTTTCAAAAATTATGCTGAAAGCGACGCCAACAAGCACGGCTGAAACAAATAGGAATCAGCCTTCAGAACTATTTGCATGGGAACGGGGCTGACCACTGATCCGTTAACTATTCATCCTTCTCAGTACAATCCTGTTCATCGCCTACATGCCTCCAAAGCGGTCTGTCAATGAGCGGCATTAGGATATTGCTGCTCATGCTGATTACACTAAATACCCACGCTAAGGCTCCACATAAGCTCTACAGATGCTCTTCTCAAAGGCAAGACACAGTCCAATCAGAGGGTCCAAGGCCGCCCCCGTCGGGGTTTGGGTCCGGCCTGACAGGCCCTCTCTTTCCTGCGAAGCAAAAAGTCTTGCAGAAGTTGTCGCGCAAAGGTCGACCGATGAACTTCCATGCAGCGAAGTCCCATCACAGTTCAACACATGAGCAACTCGCAATACTACCACCAGAAACCGGTAGGGTCCTACCCAAAACCGATACCCACCATCTGCAAAACCTATAGGGGTCCCCCCAAACCGATCCCCGGGTAATGCTGCCCGTTGCATACATCTCTCCCTCACACAAAACACACGCAGGGTGGAAAGTTCCAGCCCCCAAAACTTCCATTGGCCCAGTTTCCAGCATTCAAAGTGAGATGTCGTGCCCGGGAAGAGTTTTGCATGGCATAGGCTTGCAAGGCTGCTTTGCTCATGCGGCATGATGTACAAGTTTGGGCGCCCAAATAAACTCCACCAAGCCATGCTTAAGAGCCAGGCGTTGCTCGTTGTGGTTCTCTTTTAATTTAAACCAAGCTGAAACGGGTACTCTAAGAAAAAGAAAACAGAGGTAGCAAGACATCATGGCAGGCAATCCAGCGCCGCACAACTCACAAAGTTTCGATATTTGATTAAGTGTCAATCAACTCTCATGCATTTAGCAGTGGCTAGCATCTTCCTGCTGAACCAAATATGTAACACACATACTTCATCATGTAAGAAAGCAGTTTCAGTTAGAGCTGCAATGCTCACTAATTCAAGTGCATGGCACTGCTAAAAATATCCAGTGACAAGTGACAACACTGAAGCTAAGCAACAATTCCCCCAAGGTACTTGCTGCCCGACTCAGCTTACAGATCCGAAACCCTCGGGTGGTGAACAAGAAAAGGACGCCAGTTGCGCGCCACCTGAACAGCTGGGGTCCGAAACGTTCGACAAAATGCTTGACCGGGGCTCGTTTGATTTCGTCACAGCCATGGATCCCTGAGAGAAAACGCCACATCTGAACGAGCGAGGCTTGAACATGCTAATCAGCTGGATGCTTGAGGTGAGGAGGAATTGACACGTGCAACATCGTGTAATTCGTCTGCGTTCTTGGATCCCAAATCCTAATCTGGTTTTTCATAGTGGAACATCACTTCAAGAAGGGCTTCAAGAAGGGAAACCCCGATTTCTCATACTAAAGCACCCAGCCAAAGCCGGGACCCTGAGTCCTTGGTGAAGAGGTTCTTGTAGACTTCGCTCTCTTGGGCTGGATCCTGTGCCGCTTTGGCCTCACACGGACGGTCAAATTGGATATCTGGGTTGCTTTTGTAGAACCTGCGCACGGGCCGTAGCAAAGCGGGCTGGGAAACACGGATCAAGGTGGGGACCGGTTAGTGACCAACAACACATCATTGATATCGCTTAAGGGGCTAAGTAATCAGATTGAACGTGTTAATTATCATCTCGTATATAATCATGACTAAAACAGGTTTCAACGTATCACACCGTGTCCCACAAACCCATTCCAATCAATTATTCTGGCACTTACATGTCTGCGAATGTCCAATTACATTCCGCTACGGGCTTCTTTCCAGAACACAACCCTAACCTATTTTGATGGCCGATGTTTGAAAGCAATTCCAAGCAGACCGCCAACCATCACAGGCTGAAATCCAACGCCCACGATTGCCACTGCGCTTCAAACGTTCTCATGTCGCTTTTGCCCGTTGACTCACCGAAGCGCAGCTTCGGGCTAAGGACTTAAGCCAAGGTCCAAATGGAAAGAGAAGGTTGTTAGCTTGGAGTCAATGGACATGGCCCGATGAAGGGAAATTAAGGGCACAAGGTGGTCCTCTTGAGCAGCCAGTTTGACGTCGATCGCTTGGAAAGGGCCCTTTGCTGGTTTGCTGTTAGAAGGTCTGGTAAAATGGTCGTTTCGATCGCGATCAAAGGATTGAAGACACTATGTCAACGCTACACAACCAAGTGACAAGGGCAGCATGACATACATATGCCGCTGTGTGTCAAATTAGGTTTCCTGCCGAGACATGTTGGTTTGTATATGCCTACTCCTGCAAAGAAGGGCCTAACATGAAGACTGTAAATTGAACTGAGAGGTCTGTGCGTTTCTGTTTGTGGCGGTATGTCATTCTTAGACACTAAGGGTCACTTGGTGAAAGCTACATGAGCCCTTGACAAACTTTGTGTTTTTTCAAAAGGATGCGGACCAGTGCGTGGCCTCCCGGGTTGTGTGAAATTGGGGTGGTGTGCCCCATGCTCTCCCCGAAATAACAAGAGACTACTGGTAGTTCTGTGGATGGACAAATCCACTTCGCCATCCTTTGCTCCCATCGGTGCTGTTGGGAATGCCTTGCTTGTATCTTGGGGGCCTGGCCGGCAATTCTCAAACAACTCAAAATCCACATGCCAAACACATACGCACACAGGGTGGATATGGAGGACTAGCACACCCATGTCACTGTCATTGGTAAATCTGAGCTGTCAAAGGTATTGCTCACCTCCAGCCACAAGCCACATTGCTCTGAACACCCAATTCGAAGCATACATGATGTTGCACTGTCAGCGTGTGCTTAAACGCAGGAGCTTCCGTGGAAAGGCCCAGAACACAAAAAAGGGGGATGCCCTTCCGATTCTTCGTGCCTTCTTCTGAGCCTTTGCCTTCTCGATGGCTTCGAAGTCCTGCCAACAGCGAGACTTCCCAAAATCCTTGGGGTTGCCCAAAAGTATGGCCCCCGATTGGACACTGGTGCCGCCTTGTGTCGCCTTTGTCAAGGGTTACACCTGGCCCATCTAGTTCCCTCCCCCTATTCAAGAACATTCTCACGCAAAGGCTGGAAGGTAGCAAGTTGCGAAGGGCACAGCCAAACTCATGGTTGTACACCGAGAAAGTGTCCCACGATTCCCATGATGCCAATGTTTCAAGGTTGGAAAGCTTCTCGTTCAGCCGCTTAAACCACATGTGACCGAAGCCAGACTGCGTCTAGGCTGACAGAATCGCCTAGGCCTTCTGAATGCTTGAACAAATTACACGTACATTGGGTCCAGCCACCATTCGACAAAGACCACCAGGCACCTTTATCCACAAGGAACAATTCATGGTTCAAAGGGTCATTCCCAGATTCTAACCAAACACCAGCAAGGAAGCCTGAAGAGACGATTTCTAATGATTCACCAATCAAAAATCAGGGAACCCCTATGAAAGCAAAAGGTTTTGGGTTTGGTTATTTAAAGAGGTGTTGCACCAATTCCCATACTCCCTAAAATCAAGCACGAAAGTTAGCTTGCTAGTATCCGAACCTTGCCTCCTCCTCCTCCACTTCCGGAGCTGCCACCTGGCCCGCAGGGACATATGCCTGGAGGGAAAGGAGCGCCCAACACCCACTAACGTTGGGTTCTACCAGCCTTAGTGATTCATTGATTCCTCGCCAAAAGTTATGCTCTTGGCGGTACGGATGGTACGGTCGGGAACCTGGAAAATGGAGAAAATGTATACGTAGCATGCCTCAGGCCCTGGGATGCTAGCGCAGAATTCACAAGCAACAACGTGTGTGTAGCCCCCAATGCTGCAATGTGCCAAGCACCCAGCACTTGCATGTCGGCTTCAAGAAGAACACCATTGGTTGGCGTAGCAAGTGTCACGGATTGGAGAACTTAGGACCTTAGGATGTAGCGCCTCGAACAGGCTACCCAGCTAAGTAGATCGACTAGCAATGGTTACAGTATCTCTTGCGCATAGCTGGAACGGGATTGTATAGTAATTATGTTTGGTGTATTGCTGGCATAGCTGTATGTAATTCCTCTAAGCACTTGTTTTCATCAATGATGAGCGATCTCACTCATCCGTGAGTTGTATCGAACAAGCAGAAGCCTTGCAACATGAATTGTAGGAAATCATGGGTACTACCCTCCCAACATGGCACCTAAGGAGTAGCTGGTCTTCTCGGCGCCTTCGTGCAGGTGCGGCAGTTCGGATGGACCAAACCCTTTGTCCTTCTGGGCTAAGCCACCAAAGGACCTATCAATTGGCGCGAAGCAAGCCCAGGGATCCGTTCCCACCCACCGAATCCGGGGAGCCCAAAGAGCCAACCAACGAGCCTCTGCTGCCTGCGCTTTCCGCTTCTTCGCGGGCAGCCGCTCCCGAAGCTTGGCGAGCTCCTGAAAGTCGGCTCGTGGATCCCTTGCTAAGTCAGACCTTCAGTGGGAGTCGTCCTAAATCTTCCGGAACTAAAAGATCTAAAAAAGGCTGAAAGTCTTTGAGCCAAGAAGTCAGAATGGGGTGCCATGTTTGGTGGCTTTGAAAAGGCAGAATTGGATGGCAAAACATGATCCCGAATGAAATAGGAGCCTTCAAGTTTTGGCGACGCCCCAATTGGTCTTTGCCTTCAAGCGTTTGAAACCCAGGTTTCCGTGATCAGACATCTACAGACAGGCATTGCATGTCAGTTTTGGGAGCCTCAAAAAAAACAACTGGGCATTCAATTTCACGAACTTCAAAATCGGCGTGCAGATGCGTGCGAGTCAATGACACCAACAAATCCTTCCCCAAACAATCCATTTCCGGAGTGAGTTTCTTGCAGACAAACTGGCATGGTAATTCTGTTTGATGGAGGAAATACTGCGGGATGCATTCTAAAATGACACTCGGATATGCACTGTCCTCACCATCCGGAGCCAGGGGGATCACGTCCTTGCGAAGCAGGCTTATGCCCACTCAGGCAACGCAAAATCCTTGATACCAACGGCAAGGCGGCGAGATCCGTGGCCAAGGAAAAACAGTTTCCATCACAGCCAAACACAGCGAAGCTAGGTCCTCCAGTAGAGAGGTTAGAATAAGGGTACCCTTTTGCTGTAGTCTATTTTAGCAGGGAAACCCTCCCCCCAGGCTAAAAGAGCACCACCGGGGGACCCAGAAAGGTATTCCCTCGCCATGCATGGATTCTCGATTCTACCATTCGCCTCAAGGCTTGCCGCTGTCTCTCGGACGAATGAATGTGCACCGTCACTTTCCTACTGAAAATACAGGCCAATCATTTGACTCCGAGTCAGTGATCAATTTGTTGAACTATTGACACGCGACTTCCTGAATTGTACGAGCTTGTAGGTGGTGGTTTCACTTAAAACGCTTAGTCCAATCGCAATTTGAAGATCCCAGACCATGCCGACTGGATGGGCAGCCTGTGGCAGGTCCTTGTCGGCATCGAAGGGTTTGGAGGTGACAGGGCATTCCTGCAACGGCGCTTTGTCACATTTTGCAGCTCAGCTTAAAGCAGAATTCTTAGTTAATTTGACATTCGTATCTCACGCAACAACAAACAAGCATGACTGTAGCTTGCGCTCTCTCTTGCATGTTGGTTGAACTTCATTTTTTTCGTTTTGTCGTCGCCTGTTCCCCTTGACGCGCAGCCTGGTTTCCGCGTAGTATTTTAAATCATGTCAAGTATTCATCCGAACTGCATGTAAGCGGGGTACTGGTTGAGCACCTAAGCCAGCTTGCTTGTTGAACCAAACGGTGGCCTCACGCGGGTGTATATATAAATATATGTATTGGGTCTTGCCCCCGAACAAGGCTTTCCCTTGGCTTTGTCATTTTTTCCTTTGCTGGTGTCCTCCCTAGCGGTGACTACAGGCGCCTGCTTGTCCTTCGTCTTGCTGTTGCCTTTGCCGCTGCATCCGTTTTCCGCCTCCTGCTCCCTTTGCCTTTGCTGCACCCGTAGGTCTGCCTGCTATGGTCTGCTCCGGGTCCTGCAGCGGTTTTGTCACGTTTTGCCAGCGCGGTGTCCGTGTTTTTTGCCCTGTGTCCCTTGCGCTCCCTTTGCCCGGCGCTTGGCCGCTTCCCTTCTCGCCGAGTCTACGCAGCGCGTGTCCGCGAAAGACACCTGCCGCAGATACGGGGGTCACGGTAGTCATGGGGGGCTGTGTATTTTGGAACCGCTGCCGCGGAAAGTCACGGGTAGATATCCCCGTCTAAGAAGTTTGCTTGGCCAAACTAGATCGCAGCCACGCAGGTGCCAGAAAGTCAATCCGGCTGCGCTCGCGCGGCCCCATACTGCTGGCTGATGCGACGTAACACAACTCAGCCTTAGCTCTTACCCAGCTCATGCTTCATGTTTGGCGGATTCTTCGAGGGGCCAGGCTTTGTCGCTGCTGTGTCACAGGACGTAGCGTGACGAAGCATGACTCTGCGTGACTTATAGCCCGACTCTGCGCGACATAGCGACTCGGCAAGACTAAGCCTGTCTCGACCACTTGGCACGACTCTGCGGGACTGGCGCGGCGCGGCGTGACTTAGCGTCGTTAGCGTGGCAGGGCATGACTTTGCGTGACTCTGAGCGTGTCTCCGCGTGACTCTGCGCGACTTAATTGGCGTGACTCTGCGTGACTTTGCGTGACTCGCAGGCGTGACTCTCAGCGTGCCTCTCAGCATGACTCTGAGCGTGGCTCTGTGCGACTCTGAGCCTGCCTCTGTGCGACTCTGGCTCTGTGCGACTCTGTGCGACTCTGCGCGTGACTTAGCGTGACTCTCAGGATGACTCTGCGTGACTGAGCGCGCGCGCGACTCTGCGTGACTTAGTTAGCGTGAATTAGCGCGACTTGTAGCGTGACTCTGCGTGACTCTGCGTAGCTCGAAGACACTTAGAAAGAAAGACTTATTAGCGTAACTCTTAACATGACTCTGCGCGCAAGTCTGCGCGTGGCTTTCCGCGACTTAGCGCGACTTAGCGATCTGCGTGGCTCTGTGTTGCTTAGCAACGCGCGCGCGACTCAGCATCGCCTCACTGTGTTTTCTGCAGTAAAGTTGCTTTTTTCACGCGCAGCGCATCGATCTATCTTCAAGTCATTCCCGCTCAGCGCAGCAGCTGTAGCACTGGCTCTCGCTCGCTCGATATATCCTTCGCGCGTCGCTTTGCGCCCAGAAGGCGCAAGAGCAACTAGCATCAACCTCTTCAGGCCCGTGCGTTCGGTCAACTCATCCAAACAGTATACTTTAAGCACGCTCGCGCAGGCCTTCCTTTAAGCTCGTTCAGCATCTCCTGGTTTGGAAACCAAGAATGATTCGGAAACCCAAAAAGCTGATTCGGAAGCCAAAGCAATGTGATCTGGAAACCAAACGCATTCATCCGCAAAGCCCAACAAGTAACGACTCGGCCGCCAATTGGCTCCGAGAATCCCCAGACCAGCGACCAGCCTCCGTTGTCAGTTCGCACGGCCTTTTTCATACTGATCTCCGTCATAGCTCTCTTCTTCTTTTCTTTAGTCACTGTTGGTCTTCTGCAGCGCGCTCCAAGCGCTACTGGTGGGCAGCTTGCGAGGCCTTCCTCATGCTCCTTTCTTGGTAAGGCGCGGCTGACTCGCTCAAGAGACTGCTCGGGCCCCCACGCAAAAAGCGCCTATACGTCTCACACGGGCAGCCGCCGAGATTACAAAGACGCAGTGTCTCTGGATAAGTCTTACGGCACGTTTGCAACTGTGTGCTACTTTGCCGAGATCAAGTTTCAACCCCGCCGTATTCCACGCTTCCTTTGCTTTCGCTGAAACGCAGCCACTACATGGGCTCGAAACGTTTGGTCCCAGGCTTCACTCACTGGCTGCGCTTCGCCTTCTTGTTCGTCTTCGGCTCCTCCGCGACAGGGTCGGTCTCCTCCACTTCCTCGACCGCCGCGTCTCGCTGCTTGTGGTTCTTCTTGCCTTTCTTGACCTCATCGGCGGGCACCGCGTTCTCCTCCACCTCCCGCTGCTGCGCCCTCTTGCGAGTCCAAGCGCTACCCGCAGACCTGAACAAGCGGGGCAAGAGTATGGTGAGATCGAAAGCACGCAGAAAAGCCAGCGACGCGAAGAAGAAGCACGAGACCCAGAGCAAGACGACCTTGGACGGACATGAAAACTGAATCCAAAACTGCAAACGAATGCCTGCGCAGCGCAAGTCCAAGGAAACACGCCAAACGCCGCAACCATCATCCAAGGACCATCATCCAAGGACCCCTTCCGAGAACGCAAGCTGAAGGAAATGCAATTCCCCACCACCAGCAGTGCGTTGGTTTGCTGGTTGCTGCTTCGCTGGCTGTTTAGCGTCTGCAAAGCGCATTGTTATTGTGCTGCGGTTTCTGAATGTTGCCTGCTTTGGTTTCTGAATCAGTCATTGTTGGAATCTGAATCGGTCACTGTTGGTCTCTGAAGCGCTTCGATTTGGTTTCTGAATCGCACATCCGGTGGTTTCTGAATCGTGGACCATGGTTTCTGAAGCGCGCAGCCGTGGTTTCTGAATCGCTCCATTTTTGGCTGCTGAATCGCTCATTTGTGGTCTCTGAATCACTCCAGTTTGGTTTCTGTTTCGGCCTTTGTCCCATCCGGTTTCCATGCCTGCCAAAGTACGCCCACACAGCACTGCACCGACGCCTGCCAAATGGTTTGGTACGCCGCCCGCTCAACTGCCCCCGCAGCACCACGCCTTTCATTGATAAGCACACCCGCATGCCTGCCAAATGGTACGCACGCCCGCTCAAGTGCACCCGCTCAAGCACTGTGTTCCCGCCTGCCAAATGGTAAGCGCACCCTTGAGAAATACCAGTGCATTAATGTAGTGGGTTGTAGGTCTTGCTACGACCCCTGAGAAACACCAGTGCGTCACTAGGTCTTGGACAAAACCCTACGCAAATACCAGCGCATTTACAGGCGTCAGACAGCCCCTGGAAGCAAGAGGCCGGTAGGCCTGTGTTTTTGCGCAGCTCGAGGGGGCGTTGTTGAAATGTCCAGCTTCGCTTCTGCGCGCGAGATGTTGCCCCAAGAAATAGACTTATGTGTGTCCACCCCTGGGTCGACTGATGGGTTTACTCATGAGGTAGTGTTTGCTTTTTTGCACTCGCGTTTCTGTTGCTAAGAAACTGGCCGTTCATGCTCGGGAGTACCAAGTGGTGTTTGGTGATACTGATGTTGCTCGGTGATGCTTCAGGGGGTAGGCTTTCTGTGCCTGGCTTAGCTCGCGTTACCGTATTACTGGTATACAGTATTAGCAGGTCGTATTAAATTACTCACAGTTTAATCAACATGAACAGCGCCCACACAGTGCCCACACTGAGTCACAAGTCATACGCAACATAAGTTCAGAAGTCATGAGTCGTCATAAGTCGTCATACAGTCACACCGTCAGGCTATGAGTCATGCCAAGTCATGGGTCATAGCTGGCTCGCGGTTTGTGGTGCAATATCAGATGCTGTGTGATGTTCGCCTCTTCAATAAGTGAACTTTCTAACACCCAACCATCATGCCGACCATTACCCACTAATGCCATAATGCACCCAACGATTCTTTTGGCAAATGCCGCCAACTAGGTTGCCAGCAAAAGGGTCCTTCCACAAGTGGGGGCTTTGCAGTGAACAACCGATAATGGTTTTGCTTGCTGGGTAAGGCAGAGAAAGGCTGCAAGACAAAATGTATGTGGTGACCTAAACGTGGATCATACAAATTACCAAAAAACATTAAACCTTCCACCGGTCACTGCCAATTCGAGCAAAACACACTCTAAATTTAGGAGGGTAAGTTTATCAAAAAACAATTATAATTCTCTGGTGGTCCATTGTGAGAGGGTATTCTATAAGGATAAATGGCATTATTTAGCTGTTAGTGCTAGGGGACGAGACCCTATGTTTATATGTGCATTGTGTGGCTTGAGCGGAGGGTGCTTAGGATTTTAGTGCAGATTGGTAAGCCTGCCACATCATTGGGACATGGCAGGCGATGGCTGATTCTCCCGAGGCGTTGCAAATACAAATTTCCATATTGAGTGCTTCAGCGAAGGCATAAACGAAACCTACAAAGGTCGACCCAAATCCAGGCAAAGAATCAAACTGGCAGCCGGATTGATGGATACATAGAACAAACCTACACCGAACTTCACTTGCCCAGGTTTCGGTTGTGGCTCAAATGATCTCCCCAATTACCGAAATAGTCAGCGGGATCCGAGTCCTTTTGCGGCTTGTCATGCTTTATTCCAGAGGCGCTCGGGCCTTGTATGTGGATGTGGCGTGCTTCTTCCCATGATGAGAATCCACAAGGGTTCTGGGTTGAGCCCAAAAGGCATGATGGCAGATTGTTGAACAATATCCAAACGTCGCGAATCGCGAATCCACCCCTTCCGACTCACCTATCTCGCCTAAAGGATGTTGCTGGCCGTGGCAAAGAGCCATGCACAGGGCACGTAGGGAATAGAAGCACCGCACAACAACACGAAAAAGCAAATAACTCACGTTGAAGTGGCATCACGTGTCCGCATGCTCCTTCATCTTCATCGCCTTGAGGCTCTTTGCTGAAATTACAGCGCCAGAGGGCCAAATCACAACCTCAGGCTGACGTGGCTCCAGAGGCATGTACACGGAAAGAGCTGTGTCCCGTTGCCATGCTGATTCGACCATGCAACATACTATATTCTCAGGGCAATTAAAATAGAAGGGCCCTGCTTATGCTGAAAACCGACATCAAATAGGTGGATTCCTTCAATGCTGCATTTAGCAGACATAGATTGATTTCTTGCAACTTGCAATAGTTCAAGACATTGAGCTGGTCTTCTTGCAAGAAGGATATCCATTAGTAAAGCATACAAGCCCGCACAGGGAAAGAGCAGGGAAGGGGAGCTGAATCCCCTTACAAATAGCTGAGTCAAATTGCTGAGTGGTCTTAGTCCCAGCTAAACATCGAATCTGCTGGAGGTCCAATGCAAAGCCAAATCACAGTCTTACTGTTAAAGCGTGTCCTTCTTCCGGTTGGGTTAACGGGAAATCACAAGGACAAACATATCCTAAAGAGCTTCCCAAAGGCACGGGGCTGCGGAGCCGCAAAAGTCCAGCTATGATGGAAGGTCCTTTCAAAAATGGTGCAAACGCTTCCTATCAGCTTCCATGCTAAAAGGGCAACGG